CAATTACTCAGAAGTTAACAATAACATTTATTATCTCTTGCCAAGAGTAAAGTGAATATTCCAATACTACTTTGCCATTTTAACATAGAGAGAGAGAGAAAACTAAATTTTATTTTTGCATTCATATAACCTTTGCAAGTGAAGGATTCACTAACCTTTTTTAAAAAATCCTAGGAGTAAGCTCATTAAAGCAGAACCAATTTAGTCAATTGGCTAATAATGTTTAACATACTTATTTCATTGTTTTTTCCCAGGCTCATTATTTGGAAGTATCATAAACCAAGGAAAACCAAGTTTTCTTTTCCTTGAGGTTCTACAACTTGCCCATTCAAATATTACTTTTTACTAATCTTTACACTCTGGCATATTTATTTTACTTCCTGACAAGATTCCTTACTCTTTCCCTTCATGAACCAAACCACACTCAATCATACATGAACATTCATTTCTTTTTGCTACTTTGGTTTTTGGTATAGTCTCAATGGCCCATACACATGACAACTTTTAACAAAAGTAACTACTTTTAATTCCTAACAGAGATAACTGTAGACAAGTAACTGAATGTACTGTGAAATATACAAACATTCAGCAGACCAGCAAAGGTCAAAAGCAGTCATCACCAAATTTCCTATGACCACGCATCGCTTTTACAATTCTTAAAGTGGAAAAGTAGAACATAATTATTACCATAAACCAAAAGTTTATCTGCTCTAAAATTTATAAAAATAAGAGGCAAAGATGTGCACAGACTATGCTTGGTAACCAATGTTTTTGCATTCTATCTTCCTTAGAAATTATCGGCTCAGCGCCTGTGGCTCAAGCGGCTAAGGCACCAGCCACATACACCTAAGGTGGCGGGTTCGAATCCCCAGCCCAGACCCGCCAAACAACAATGATGGCTGCAACCAAAAAATGGCCAGGCGTTGTGGCGGGCGCCTGTAGTCCCAGCTACTTGGGAGGCTGAGGCAGGAGACTCGCTTGAGCCCAGGAGTTAGAGGTTGCTGTGAGCGTGATGCCATGGCACTCTACCCAGGGGGACAGCTTGAGACTCCGTCTCAAAAAAAAAAAAAAAAAAAAAAGAAATTATCTAGGCAGCAAAAGATTTTTCACCAGTTTACTTGATTTAATATCAGTCTAAGTTCTCAAAGTTAGTTAAAGACCCTAGAAATTATGTTTAAGCTGATATATTACAGGGTGATACAATCATTGATGATACAAACAATTTAGGAAATTTAGGTTAACTACAATCTCCATGATAAAATACTCTCCATTACTCTATTGCCTCAACTTGTAACATGCTCTTCGTGGTTTCACAAACTCATACCATATTGCTTATATATTTGTTCACTTATTTATTGTGAATATTTCCCCACTAGAATAAGCACAATAAATAAAGATAATTTGTCTTACTTCATGCCTAGAACAGGTAAGAGATATTCAATGAATACTTTTTTTTTTTCGTCTCTACTGGAATCGTGAGCGCCATATCACTCAGTGATTTTTCTTTTTTGAAACAGAGTTTCACTTTGTTGCTCTTGGTGTCATAGCTCACAGCAACAAGAGATTCTCTTGCCTCAGGCTCCCAAGTAACTGGGACTACAGGCGCCCACCACAATATCAGGCTATTTTTTGGAGACAAGAGTCTTGCTCTTGCTCAGGCTGGTCTCAAACTCATGAGCTCAAACAATCCATCCACCTCAGCCTTCTAGAGTGCAAGAGGCCACCATGCCCGGCCAACAAATAGTTCCGAATAAAGAAACACAGTAAGTACTTACTTACTGTGCTTGACAGGTTCTTAGAAACTGCAACTTTAAGAGAGATGATGCATACTGAAACCAGTTTTAATACAAGCTGATTGATATAAACAAGATTTAAGTTCCTGTGGCATATTTATGATCACAAAAACATCATCAAACTTATAAAGACCAAAACACTTCTTTGGGAGAGGGTGGCTAGAGTGCCAGGGAGTCAGCCTAGTTCATAGCAACCTCAAACTCCTGTGTTCAAGTTATCTGCCTGCCTTAGCCTTCCGAGTAGCTAGAACTATAGGCACCATCTTCAGCCTCCCGAGTAGTGGGACTACAGGCACCATCACAACAATTTTTAGTGGAGATAAAGCCTTGTTCTTGCACAGGGGATTATCCTGCCTTGGCTTCCAAGATTACAAGTGGGAGCCACTGTGCCCTGCTGAAACACTTTTAATATTAAACACTGAAATAAATGTGAGCTATACATACACGTAAAAAAGATTAACAAAGAGAAGTAAGATCATTATTTACTCATTTATTCTAGACAGGGTCCTGGATGGCCAGAGTCTATGCCAAGGGGGCACCAACCCTGGAAAGGACTCCATTCTACTGCAGGGTACACTCACACACCTACCCACACTCACTCAGAAGGGGACAATTTGGACACTGTAGTTCACCTAGCATGCACATCTTTGGGAGGTGGGATGAAACTGGAATACCTGTAGAAACCCTACAAAGACATGAGAAGAATGCAAACTCCATACATACAGCACCCTGATTAGGAGATGATTTCCTTTTTCCTCTCATCAATATTATAATGAAAGGATACAATCTTTACTCATAATAATTGCATCAGATAGGAGGAATAGGTATCAGCATAACATTATATAAGTGAGGAAACTGGACATTAATAATCCTGAGACTCAGAATTTTAGTTTCCTGATTTCCAATCCAATATACCACATCATTACCCAGGACTACATAAATATACTTGTACAAGTAAAACATGAAAAGAAAAAGTCTTGTGTAGATATGATCCGTAGACAAGGTCTCTGCTATGGATTGTATCCTACTGGGAGGGGGGGTCCATTGAGGAGTGTTTTGATAGAAACCAATGTCATTAGTCCACAACTTCCTTTACATAAATTTTCGTCACTATCAATGATCTCCAAGTGACTATTTCTAATGTTTTGAATTCCTAATGGTTTTCTCCTTGGAGTACTTGTAATGGAGGACTGAGGAAGTAAAATGTGAGTTTCTCTCTGGTTTTTGTTCTAAGGAAAACATGTTGGTGAAATTGGCGATTTTTTCCCTCCTCCCCTCAGTATAGAATCCATTAGTTTTCTCTTCTAATCCCCTCTTACCAAAATCAGTCCAGTTAAGGCATTTGACTTACCATGATGCATCCCCTGCAGGGTATTCAAGGTTTTTTTTGGTTTGCTTTTTGAGTCTAGGCAAATTGATATTAAAGAGATACTAACACACTGCTAAACAGGAAAGGCAGACTAAGCCTTTCTTTTTGGATTAAAACATGCTGTTGGGTGACCACCCATACTGGCTCCAGTCCTAAGCCTCAGAGGGAAGCCAATGTTCACTGCAAGGCACAGGAACTTACCAGTTGTCCACCCAAATGTGCCCCCTTCCCCTTCTACTAAGCAGGAAACACTAAGATTGGCCTCCTTTAACTTTTTTTCTCTATTAAATATAAGAATTTTGGCTTGGCGCCAGTAGCACAGTGGTTATGGCACCAGCCACATACACCCAGGCTGGTAGGTTCGAACCCAGTCTGGGCCAGCTAAACAACTATGACAACTGCAATCAAAAAACAGTTGGGCATTGTGGAGGTGCCTGTAGTCCCAGCTACTTGCGAGGTTGAGGCAAGAGAATCCTTAAGCCCAAGAGTTTGAGGTTGCTGTGAGCTGTGACACCAGGCACTCTACCGAGGGAGACATAGTAAGACTCTGTCTCAAAAAATAAATAAATAGACATAATAATTTTGTTTTAAACTATTTAGAATTGGTTGTACTGTTTTTTAGGATCCTACACTTTCTCTTCAAACTAAAACATGTTGGGTGACGACCCTTAGAACTTTTGTCAAATCATTTCTCATGGCAATCTTCTTCATCCTCATTGTCCTCCCTTAAAAATGGGCATCTGGTAATGATGATTTAGAAGTCATTTTTGCTGATCTCATCCCTGAGTCAGAGGGAACAGCAGGGGGTAAGTTCAGGGTCTACATACTATATAGAATTCAGGTCTGGTTAAAGCAGCATGGCTTCTTCCATACCCACTGGATAAAGGAAGAAACCAAAACACTCCAGGGCTCCAGTACTGTTCAGGATCCCACTGACTGATATTCAAGGCCTGAGCTCCTTTTTCCAGAAGGGTAAGATTGAACACAACTCTACTGTTGAATTTAAAATTGTGGATGCCATATAGGACGGAAGTCTCCCTTCTCCCTATAGATCATGTGGGGTAGGAGATTGCAGAATTGACTTCGTCCTATGTGGAAGGTGAGGCACCAACAGACACAGGGATGGGAAGCTTCTCAAAGGCCAAATTCTAATGGGCCGTTGATCACCCTGGATTGGGCTATTTCACTGTTATCACAAAATAAACAGGATGTTCAGAGGCGAGTTATGGCAGACAACCAACCAGCCTCACGCTGGTCCTCTAACTCAACCCTGGCAACACGGCTGGCAGACAGATGTTATTATCCTTACTTCACAGAGAGGCAAAGCCTTTTAAAAATCCTCCACTCAGAACATTGCAAGGCAGGGACTCTGAGTCCTGGCTCCTCCATCCTAAACCACTTGCTAGATTTTCCCATGTCTAGACTGCAGCAGGAAAAGGATCTTGGAGAACACATTTTAGGTCAACCCTCTCGCTTTACCCCCAAGAAGCGAAGTGACTTGTTTAAGATCACACGGCGAGAGCGTTGGCAAGGGGACAGGGGAACCCGAGACACCTCGGTCTCTTCCCTCCCTTGCTGGTTCCTGGCTCCCCCGCAGCCCTCGGGGGCTCAGGGGGAGGAGCTGAGCAGGGCCCGGGCTTTCCGGGGGCGGTCCCCAGCAGCCGCGCATTCCAGAGCCACCGAGCGCGGCGCTCCTGGAGTCGAGCCGCGCGTCCCGCAGGCCCTGCGCGCTCCCGCCTCGCGGGCTCCGAGGAGCCCGGCCACGTCCGGGGCGCTGGCTGGGGCTCCCCTTCCAGGCGTGGGGGCGCTTCCGGCTCCCGATCCCGTGTGGTCCCGGGGATCTCGAGGAGCGCCGAGCTGTCCCTGCCCCAGGAACTTTCCACAGACCCGTCGCGAGGTTTAAAGGCGGCTTTGAGGACCGGGGTGAGTGGGGCCGTCGCGTGCGGTTGGTGGGGCGCCGGCAGAGCAGAACTCCCCGGGCTCGAGACCCAGCTGTCAGGGGGCCCCCTCCCCAGGGCCCTCCAACGCTCCTTTGCGCCCTCTCCTCCCTCATCCACCTCTTCCCCACTTTTGCATTTCTTCGCCGCACCCTCCACTTCCCTTTTCTCCCGCGGTCACCCCCAAAGTTTCAGCCACCGTCTGTCTGCTCACAACCTTGCGCCTCTGTTGAGCTTGGACTGGTGGGCCCACTTTGAGGCCGACTTCCCTCCGAGTTCTCCTGCCCCTGCCTTCTCGGGGAGCGGCAGCTCCTCGAACAGACTGCCGCCTCTTGGTCCTCCAGGCCCCGAGTCAGTCGGGGCTCGGCCCCCGCCCCTGACCATCCGCCTGGGCGCTGCGCTGAGTTTGTGTCCTTTGCCACCCAGGACAGCGGATGCTCTGCTCGGCTCTTGTCAGATCTTCGTGTAGAAGGTGCCGGGAGGTTGGAGTTCCAGTGCTGGTTCTGTCACCAGAAGCTGCTTCTCCATCCTGTCTCCCAGGCGTGTTTCTCCATCTGGGAAACGGAGAATCTCTTGTCTATAGAAAGCAAAAGAGAAGCCTTCCTTCCAACCTCCTCGGGGTTGGTTATCTGACCCTTTACCTAGGACTTAGCTGTTCCAATTGCTGGTTCTTTTCTACTCTACTCATGCTCCGCCAATTTCTGGAGGGCAGGAGCACCCTGTCTGTCCTCATCTCTGAAGCATCCTCAGCTCCAGGCACAGGGCTTGCAAATAGGAGGGGCTCCGTCCACGTTTAGGAGTCAAAGAATGAAAAGTGTAGGCCAAAAACGTCTGTACAGACTTCAAGGATTGTTCTGATTGAGGGCCAGCCTGGATTCATGCAGTTCCACTTGTTTCTTCCGACTAGCTGTGATCCTACTGGCCTGGGGGCTTTTGGTTTTCCGGTTTGTCTATAGGTAGTGACTACTGAACTCCTTGAAACACCAGGCTGCAGTAGTGAAAGCTGCTTAGCCATTCCATTATCAGAGCTGCCTGGAGCTGTGATCTGCTGTACCACTGCAGTGGGCACGTAGTCTGGACAGATAGTGACTGTCTGAATGGGATGGGAGTGGGAGCAGGAACAACAGTTCTCTGGGAGTCAGAAGACCCTTTGAGTGACCCCAGCTGAGGCATTTCCCCTCTGTGGACCTCACTTTCCCCCTCTGTAAGATGAAGATGTGGGAATGGAATAGATACATTTGTGGTTGAACATGGCATGCTCTTTGGGTTATGCAGGCCACGCAGCAGCCCTCTGGACACACACAGACAGCCCAGTTGAGCTTTAGGACATCATGTACTTCTGCAGTGACAACCTAAAAAGCCAAGAAGTATTACTCCAATCCAACAGGGACCTCCTGTTTCCAGCTGTCCTGGGATTATGAGTCATGCATGGGGGTTACAAGTCATACTCCATGAAGCCTCTGACTTGGTGACCTCTCAGGACCTCAGAACTGTGGCTTCACTGCGCCAAAAGTCTAGGGAATTCCCCCTCTCTGGCATAGCCAGCATACCACTGAGCTGGGGTGACATGCTAGACTCAAAAAAGATTAGAGACCCTGAGGGCTTAGAGTTGTGTCAGATATTCAGCCCTTTTGGGTGGCAGACCAAGGGGGTAAGGGCCATTCACAACTTTAGATGATTTCCCAGCCGTATGCTAATCTTTACTTTAAAAATGTGCTTCTGTTTCTTCTCTGTGGATTAAAACATATGAATGAAGGAAATGCCTCCAGGGAACAAGAATCTTTGTCTTGGTTGGTTGTACACTGTCCCCATTGGCAGTGGTATCAAAAATAGGCATATGTATTCACACGGTTTATAGGAATAAACATTGGCATTGCCACACCCTGCAGCCCCCAACTCTGGCCAGGTAAGCTGAGTAATATGATAATAATCATACTTGACCTTTATTGAGTGCTTATAAAACAGGCATTATTCTAAGCATCTTACATGTATTAACTCATTTAATCTTTACCACAAACCCACTAGGGGGGGATCACCATTATGTCCATTTTATAGATCAGGAAACTGAGGTCCAGAGAGAGTAAATAACTGACCCATGATCACATAGAAAGTGTTAGAGCTGCAGTTTGAACTCAGACAGTCTGGTTCCAGGGTCTATCTTCTGAACTTCACTGGAATTGTGTGTGTGTGGGGGGACCAGAGTTCAAAGCTTGCTTCTGTCACTTACATGCACGTGACCTGGAAGAAGTTAAGGGAATTTAAGAGCCACTGTATTTGCAGATCACTAGGGACCCTAGTACCCTTCCAACTCACTAGGGACATAGAAGGTGAACCTCAAGAGAGAATAGAGACATCTGGCAGTAAAGACGTAGTTAGGTAGCCAGAAAGAGAAACAGGAGAATTATGATTTGCTTGGGGTATTAAACAGTGGCAAGCCAGATCCAGTGACTAAACTGTACTTTGAATTACTTAGTTGTGTATAGATAGAGTTTATTTTATTGATTTGGACTCTGACTGGCTGATTGGGTGTATGACTTGCTGGAGACCTGTTACATAGGATCCGGGAAAATGAAAATAGAGGATGGAGAATAAGAGACAGAGAAACTAAACCAGGGTCCTCAAATCAGTTTTAATTAATGATGACACGTATCTGGCATGTATGTCACTACTCCTAAACCCCTGCCCTAGACCAATGTTGACAACCAGTACTTTGCACCTCCCCCTGGAATCCCTGACTCAGTGCTCTGGACAGCCTCTACCCATGGCTCCTGGAGCTATCTTGCCACCACAGACATCCCACCTTATTCCTCCGGGTATGACCCATGAAGTAGCAAGTGGGGAATCAGAAGACTTTTCTGTTTGAGCACCCTTGTGGTACCTTAGAAAACACCTTAGGACCTTTTAAAAATTAATTTTCTCTTCCCTTTACTATTTCTGTTTTTTCTTGAGCTGTGGACATGGCTCAAGTCTTTGAGAGCTGGCTAGACCCTTAGGGATCACCTTGTCATCCTTTCCAATAGACAGATAAGAAAACTGAGGCTCAGTTAAGAAGAATGACTTACTCAGGATCATACAATGATTTTGTCCCTTCTCTTCCTTTCCTTTCCGTTCCCTTCCCTTCCTTTCCTTCCTTTTTCAGATAGAGTCTTAACTCTTTTGTCCTGGGTAAAGTGTCATGGCATCACAGCTCATAGTAACTTCAAATTCTTGGGCTTGAGCAATCCTCTTGCCTCAGCCTCCTGAATAGCTGGGATTACAGGTGTGTGCTATAGTGCCTAGCCAGTTTTTCTATTTTTAGTGAGACTAGGGTCTCACTCTTGCTTAGGCTGGTCTCAAACTCCTGAGCTCAAGCACCATCTCAGCCTCCCAGAGTGCTAGGATTACAGGCGTGAGCCACTACACCTGGCCAATGTATTTGTTTTCTAATGCCACTGTAACAAGTCATCACAAATTTATTGGCTTAACAAGACCCCCACAGATCAGAAGTTCAGTATGGTGTGTCTCAAGAGAATAAATTCAAGATCTCATCAGGATGCCTTTCTTTTTGGAGGTTCTAGGGGAGGATCAGTTTCCTACTTGTATGAGCTGTTCACAGATTTCAATTCCTGTGCTTGTAGGACTAAGATCACCATTTTTTTGCTGGCTGTAAACTGAGAACCAGTCCTTATTTTTGGAGGTCACTGTGTTCCTTGGCTTAGGGCTCCCTTTCATCTTCAAAACCAGCACCGGCAAATCAAGTCTTTGTCACACTTACATCTCTCTGACCCACTCTTCTGCCTTCCTCCTCACTTTTAAGAGTTCATGTGATTAGGTTGGGCCTCCCCGGACATCCAGGATAATTTCCCCATCTCAGAGTCCTTACCTTTAGTCTCACCTGCAAAGTCCATTTTGCCTGTGTTCTCTTGGCTTCACACTCTGAATCATGCTTCCTTTTTTGTATTCAAGAATCTGGGTTTGGCACAGTAACTTATGCCTCTGATCTTAACTTTGAGAGGTTCAGGTGGGAGGATCGCTTAAGGCCAGGAGTTTGACACTAGTCTGGGCAATGTAGTGAGACCTCTATCTCTACAAAAAGAAGAAAATAAAACAATTAACTGGGCATGGTGGCATGCATCTATAATCCTAGCTACTGGAAAGGCTGAGGCAGGAGGATCACTTGAGCCCAGATGTTTGAGGTTGCAGTGAGCTATGATTGTACCACTTCATTCCAACCCAGGTGACAGAGTAAGACTCCGTTTCAAAAAAAAAATAAAAAAGATTCTGGGGGCCAGGTTTTTTGGTGGGAGGGCATTATTCTGCCTTTTGTATGTAGGAGGCCCACTTTGGGAGAGTGACTTGCTCAGGATCACATACTGAGTCAGGGGACTAGCATCCTGACTCTTGCAGCTCTGTCATGGATCCTCCCTCCCACCCCCTGCAGTGCCTCTCACAGAGAGTCTCCTTTGTCAGCCCCACACACAGCAGACACTTAGTCACTGGCAAATAGCAATGATGGATGGTAGTGGCTTAAACAGGATGCTGTGGACTTGGCCTGGGTTTTCTTCTCTGCTGGCTGCCTGTTGGTTTCCAAGACTGTGATTGGTTTGCTTAGATAGTACGTGCAGTCTTGAACAGATCTGGCTATGCTCTGATCTCTTCAAAAATATCCTGGTGTTTTTCCATTTTTCTAACCACAGAGGAGCTGATAGAAACTCAGGCAGGGAATAAGTATTTAGCTTGTTAGGAATTTCGGACAGACGGGCCAGTTGGGGTGAAATGAGAACAGAGTGCTCCTTAGGGGCCACAGGCCATCAAAGAAAGCCCTATAATTTGATTCATTCCATATTTTTGATAGTTGCATGTCCTGTCCATTCCTTCCCCTAGCTCCTTTCTTTGGAACAGAGGTCCCTGGTGGAAGGACTCCTTGCTGGGTTGGTGAATGTTTGAGGTTACAGAAAAAGAGAAGAACTATTTCTAAGAGTAAATGTTGAAAAGGGTTTGGGGGTA